TTTCATGTCTAGACAAATGGTTTTGTTTCTAACTTCAAAAAACATACGACGAATATCTGGCGAAGGCAGTTTGGGTTCTTGAGTTGGAGACGAAAGTGGATGTTCGCATTCATTAACGACATATATAGATTGTTCAGTGGTGACCGGAGAAGCTCTAGAGTCATTTGCAGAATCAACTAAAGAAATGGCGCGGGAACGACAAACCCGAGCAAAATGACCGGTCTTACCGCAATTCCGGCAGATTTCACTCTTTGCAGGACATGACTTATCATTTGCACGATGTTCAGCATTTCCACAACGGTAACACTTATTTCTAACTGAGGATCGCGTCAGAGAGCGTGTAGAATCCAAACGGTCAATTTCAGTAGCTCCTGTGTTAGAGAGGAAAATTTTGTTTTGTTCCGTGACTGCGACCTTCGCGCGAGCCACGTCACAAGTCCTGTCCCATGTGAGCTTTTCTGCGTTCTCCATTAAGAGACTCTCTCTGATCCGAGAATCCGTGAGACCAGAAATCAATTGTTGTATTAGCATAGTTTCTTCCACTTTTTTCTTGCGAATACTATCGTAGTCACACTTTCATACAGAACAAACAAGGCGGGAAATGAAAGCATCCATTGATTCACCAGATGCCTGTTTCAACGGCGAAAATTATACCGTGAAGTATAAGTATTCACTCGGAAACCCCAATGTTTAGGGAGGGCCGATAAGGCGTCTATCAACGTGGGTTTCTCCCGCAGGATTAGAGCATCAAATATACATCAACCCTCTGAGCCGAGGTGTAAGCGCAAAAGCTTTAAAGTATCCTCCGTTTCCAGCGTTACAGATGGATTGAAAACTGGTAGCACAAAAATATAATCTGAAAACTAATTTTCTTGTCTTCTTAGCATTCTGCATTTGTGGTAACCGCAGGGTCAGTCCAGAACGGTGAAGGGGGCAGTAGCATGCAAAGACAATGGTACCATGCGACGCCAATTTGTTTTATCCCGAAAAAGCAGCAGACCAGAGCAGCACCGGAACATATGTATGAAGAAAAACTGTCTGCACACACGCGCAGTGCAATAAAATCGATACAGGTTCGAATTGTAACCAATCAAAGGCAAGACCACATGATTGGTCAACGAGTGCTAAATAGAAGGGTGAGTAGGATAAGCGAATCGAAGGCAAAAACAAGCAAAGTATTTGAACACGACAGTGACGAAGTATTGGAAACCACATCCCGATTCTGCTACCTTGCGAGTGCGGTTTCGACTGACCAGCAACTATACAGTGAGCTGCGCATCTGCGTCCAAGGCAGCGGCGGCATTCGATAAGCTTGAGTACCGAGTGTGGAAAAACCATCAGCTTACCATTGGCACTGAGCTGATGGTGTACAAATCCATGGTGTTGTCTGGCAGTGAAACGTGGACGATGTACGGTCGGGATGTGCGATATCTCGAGCTGTTCCATCAACAGTGTTTGCGACGGACTCTGTGCAACAGTTGGTGCGAGAGTTTCAGTCACGGAGGTGTTGCGCCGAAGTGGAATGTGTGCAGTGGACTACACATGCGGTTGCGAGTGCCTACCTCACGCAGGCCTATTAAGCCATGAGCGAGGCCACTCGGGGCCACCAACGAAGCGACGACGGGTCCTGCAGAGAACATAGGCAGAACCGGCGCAGCGTTTGTATGTACGCTGCATTCGATTTACTAACCGCGTGTTTGCATGCTAAGTCTCTTTATTTCAGGTAGTGGGTTTGCTATATTGTCCTAATGCTGTTTATATTAATATCTAACTGAACATTCTCCTATAAACTTGCACACGTCGCTTAAGCTAAGTTAAATGGCATTTTCGCAATCGTGACATTTCCTTAAAATACATTTTCTGATGTCTTGAACCTATATCGAATTTTTACCAACCAATTTATTTCATGTGTTCATTTATCGAAGAGTTATATCACCATATATACATGCATTATTCGCCTTATTTTATTTTATATCGTTTCAACTGATTGGCTCTTGGGTGATATCCCCGATGTAGCTGAGCTTGAGGTGCACTTTGACAAAGTGCCTACCTGTCTATTACCCACTACCTCATCCATACTGGCTCCAGGAGACAGTTGGTCATTGGTGGAGTGGATGGGGTGCACATTCCTTGTGGCCGTGCTGGGCTCGTAGAATGGTTCTATGCACTCGGTGTGGCGCGGACTACGGTCTAGCCACCGTCTTGTGTGCGCTTGGTCCCCCAAATGCAGCGTGCTTTTGTTTACCTATGAAGGAGTGTGGGCCGGCTCCGTTGATGAAACGTGGTTCCCATCCGCATGCCTCCCGGTCTTATTCCTTCGGGTTTACACTGGATATGGGGTATGTGGTTGGAACTGTGGGTGGTGCAGCGCAAGCCATCCATGGTCCCTCTGTAGGCGCAGGCGTCCTGTGGCTTGCCACAGTGACAAGCAAATCCGAAACCGGATGCCGCCAACCATATATATATATATATATTGTAACGGGCTGTGAATAGGACTTGAGTCATTGGAAACTCAAAACAAGGTACAGAAATAGTAAAAGAAAACACAACACATCAAAGTCCATGCTGAGGAGCACTAAGCGCCCGATCGCTACTGCACGTAGGACCTACCATGCTGTTCAAGTCGCCGTTCTCAAGCGAAGCAGCGATTTGCCGATAATTCAGTCAAGACAAACTGTTAATTGGTGCCAGCTCTCATTGTGTATACTAATTTACATGTAACTGTGGAGTCAGTTAGATGAGCAGAACTGATAGACCTTTTGTCTTCCCGTATGAGGGAACGTGTACCGATGTGGATCCTGTGTGGGATAGACCAGCCGGCATATCATCCCCAAGACCTGTCATTACGTAAGCTCTAGGATCCTCGATAGCTAAACACCAATGGATTACTGGTTATCGGATTAAGCCCGATGCTGCGTTAAAAAAGTTTGCTGCGTCAATCTAATACGCCATGTCTTTGGTTTGTTGAGGCTGTCGCGATTAGCCCAATACAGCCAGTGCTGTGTATGTATTAACAGCTATTTGTCCACCTCGGCCTGTATTGGACATAAGGACCGAACCGTTGTCATCCATTTTGACCCTCAAGTTTGTATCTGCTGGTTAAATCCACCGTCTGGTATTGTTTCATATGGGTTAATTTTATTGGTACTGAAGAGACAACTGCTCGCATCGACGAATTGTCGTCCTCTTGTATTAATTTTTAAACAATAACAACTACTGTTTGGAAGTCCACAGCAGCTCACGACAGATGCAGAACGAAGTGCATTTTGGCGCAAGAGTAGGATCCTCCGTAAGAAACTATAATAGTAGAACCGTGGCGAAGCGGTGAAGTTGAGCTGAATATGAGCACTACGCTGCTGCGTTCGTAATTTTTGGTGGTCAGCGCTTAATGATCAGCAAACAACCCTCCATAGACTCCTCTAACTTAACACGGGGTAAAAATTGCATAGACTATTCTCCGAACATCCCGGTACCGTAAGCTCATAAGCATCCAAGAATCATCCGGTATGCGTAAAAACATTTAGTCCCCTAGTCAGCTACGCTGCTCCCAACACCAAAATCCACTGCTTTCAACAACCCACGAGTCCCACTAGGTGGTGCTTCGCAACTGGCTGACAGGATGTGGAATGAAAGAGGATCGCTTATTCATGTCTTGGAGAGGGAGGCAATTGAACCAGCCGGTTTTGCTGCAATGTCAGTTTATCCACTGCACGACACAAGGTGCTTGTAGCGACCTGATGATCCAAGCAGATGTACCAAACAACAAGCAGGAAATTTCGGCTGCGTTGCTGGTCTGCTATTTGTTCGGACGTTTAACAAGGAAATAGACGAGGAAATGCATGTTGCAGACATCGCAAACATCAGTTGCGGCACTTAAGCATGACCATCGTAAGTAAATGGGATACGGTTCTTGGCTGATTGCTGTCAGTGAACTTAAGGTAGGTTATCTAACGAAGCGGATAATTAGAACCGGAGAGAGTGGCTGAGAAATTACTATCAACATTTTCCAATAATGGGATTCAAGATTGGTAATAGTCGGTCTCTACATACTTCTGAGCTTAGGGGATCGTTGTGATTATGTGGGAGTTGATGTTCTGCTGGGTATTTTTGTTCGTTACCAGACTAGATGGCATTGTCAATGCAGCTTTCAGAGAAAAAGATTAAGTATAATCAGTCAATCAGTGCAATTGATTTCTCTATGAGCTGCACCCTTACGAGTGCTGCACTATTCGAGGAAAAAGTATCCGAGCTTTCGTCGCCATTTGCTAGAGCTCAGTCACAACAGTAATTTGAGTGGCCAACATCTAAAGCTGACAGATCAGGACAGCCCTATGGAATGCCGTCGGAATTCCTTTCCCATACTCCTTTGCAAAACATGGAATGCCTTACCGGAATCTGACATCTGTGCTCCCGCACTGACAGAGTGCAAAGCCAGAGTTAACGGTGCGCTCATTTCACAGGCCCATCTCACATGACTCATGTCTAGGATAAACAGAAGCGACCGATCAACTCCCAAAATGCCTTCCACATTTTATACGTCCCATATGTGTTCACTAGGACGCGATACGATTTCTTACCAGCTTCTCATTTGTCTTCACTCTTTAAGGAAGTATGTTGGAGTAACATTTTATACTGCGTATACCTCAGTGTGTTCACCGGTGTAAACACTACTTTGCTAACAATTTTCCATATTTTGAACTTTCCCTATGACCAGCCTACGGGACCTGTTAAGCTTTAGCTTTTTTACCCGTATAAAACCAGTGTTCCATTGTTCAAACTATAAAATGCGAATTGATACTCACGAAAGGTGGCAGCAGTCCACCAGCACATTATACGGATGCATTGCTCTCATGCAGTCGCAGGTGAATGCACGGACAGTTGAGATACTCCAGAGATGCTCTAACGCATTCAGTAACGGGGGTTCGAACTGTGACGTAGAGGTTGTAAGCTGGGCACCGAAACGTCAAGCCACGGATTTGTGCCCCTTTCACCAACTCGATTCAAATCAAGGTATACCTACGACGTTTCAGATACACTACAGCGCAGTGGAACCGAGTAACAGAGGCTAATTTCAAATACTTCCTTAATACATGAGACCGAGAAAATTCGCGAGAAGCGATCAATTCGATTAAGTAACAAACCTGCCGTAGTAAAAAGTTCATTCCTTCCTTAGTCTCAAAATAGCTTGGTAGCGCTTTGCTGCGTAGTGCTTTCCTATTTTGTGCTGCATCCTCTATCTCTTTCTGCAGAGCTTGGTAGGCAGCTTTGCGCGCTGAAGAACTACGAGGTGCTGTGGGTTTTTGTAAATATTCGCGGTCAGGTTCGCTTCCAGGACAGGGGCTTGATTCTGCGTGCAGTGGTGTAAAACAAAGTAAGATGAATTGATATGAATTATGCTGAAACAAATGAACTTATAGACCTAATCTTATTGGAATACCAGCTTCTCCTAACCTTAGGGACGGGTTAATTTTTGATAAGCATCACTTGTGACCGCGTCACCAAGAAAACACGGGTTTCCAAGCGTATTCATCAATACTAAAACATCAGTGAACGGAGAAATGAAGTAGACCAAGCCTTAGCCTAAGTATTATATTAATAAATAAACTCTTGTGAACCGGTCTAAGTCCTACGACTCTGGAATTTTCGGCCACTGCTGCAGGTAGCATGTAGTATTGTCGGCTAAAAATATGCGTGCGATTGATTGACGGCACAGACTACTCGGCTCGATAGCAAAAGTTCTAAACATAGAATAAAGTTCGACTGTTTGAAAGTGCGTGAATCATGGTGGAATACACAAGAATCGAAACGTAATGCTGGCCGCACGAGAGATACAATGGGGTAAAACGTGGTGTTATTAGATAGTTATTAATTCCTGTGTTTGGGACAGAATTTCACCAGTATGTGATTGGGATGGACTCGACATCCACCTGGCTAACGGACTGTCACACTTTTAAAGTCGAAATTATCTTGACACTGCATGATTTGATATTTAGAACCACAATAAGTTTCCCAAATTGGGCCGCAAATCCGGAAATCTGTTCGACCTCAAGCATTACATTGGGCTATGATACCCCTTGCTCCCGAATATATATCTATACCGGATTACCTGTGTGGCACGGAACTAAAACAAAACGGTGTTGATTATCCGGAAAAATACTTTATACTCAGACCTGAGAACAACTCGTATACTTGATGAAAGTACATCTGTTATTGGTTGCACATGGTCTAAGCCTGTCATTAAGTGGCTTTTACCACTTACCGAACTGATGATCATTAAGCCAAGGGATTGTCATTCAACGAGTATATGCGAAGTATGTGATAAAAATGAACAACTCTATGATTTGTACGCTTTCTGCACGGTAATGTGTGTGCTCCAAAATCTATAACACCGTACACGCATGTTAGTGCATGGTACCAAGCTTTCAGCGTGGCACATTTTCGAAATCGCGTGCAATGTTTTCAACTTAGCGAGGCTAAGAACGCTGTTTTCGCGTCGTTGACACTCTCATTGGTCATGGGACGTAAGCCAATGGGACACCGGTTAGAAGTCCCCACCATAAGCGACAGACAGTCTAATGAAAGTGGTCGAGCACCACCATCTGTTCTGTTTTGATGCTTATCTGAAGGAAACCTCGATGACTGGAATCCAAACTGAAACCGTCCAATGGGCAAATTGTGATGCCTGTCTAAGCACCTGTCTACCACATGATCCGAAGCTTAAGATGTAACCAGCGCGGACAGACATCATAACCAGCAAATTAAGCGGTCTACAGTGATCGTCAGTGGCTACCTGGTGGTGGCTTATTCAGCGGCCTAACCATGGTGGCGTAGACAGGCAATCTTCTAACTGGTATTCCGCAGTTCAGCAATGGCTGCTAGGCGGTTACACAATTTCGTGCGATTGTTACTGCGACGATCATGGGGACATTGTTTCCATTGAAGTTGGTAGACCAACCTGAAGCTGAACAACGAAATCTCTACGTTTGCTTACTTCTATCGCAATTGATGACTAAACACAAATTAAGCGGATTCCAAGTGTGGCTTTGACACGGCGTTAGTGAGTGTTCGTTTGTCTCCACACCCATGGGCGACTTTGTTAATCAGTGATCGCGTTATATAAAGGTCAAAGGAACCTATGTATTCATAAGATAATTAGGCTTCACTTCCATATGGTCGCCCACGGTGGCGTAGACAGGCAATCTTCTAACTGGTATTCCGCAGTTCAGCAATGGCTGCTAGGCGGTTACACAATTTTGTGCGACTGTTATTGCGACGATCATGGGGGACATTGTTTCCATTGAACTTGGTAGAAAAACGTGAAGCTGAACAACGAAAGTTCAGTGTTTACTTTCTTCTATCACAGTTGATGACTAAATACAGACTAAGCGGATTCCAAGTGTGGCCTTGACACGACATTAGTGAGTGTTCGTTTGTCTGCAGTGATGGTAATAAAAAGTGAATTGGTAGTTTTTGCTGAGGCTGCAACCCTTGCAGGCTGTTGGAAGATAAGCTTTGGAGACTTACAAGAGCGAGATGACATCTAATTGAGTAGTGATAAGAAGCGGATTGGTTGACTGTGTTGAGGCTGCAACCCTTGCACGCTGTTGGAAGATAAGCTTTGAAGGCTTACGGGTTGACTGGACAGTTGCCTTCCTTGCTCGCTTGCCTATCTGGCCACACGTGATTCGGTATGCATAGTGTAATCGTGCCACTGCGAGCAATCTGGAGAATCGCAAGGTGTGCTATTTTGCTTAGGATATGGGTGTGATTGTTAAGGAAGTGTGGGGTAATCAGAAACAATGCAGTAATTCGTATGAAGCAGGTAAAGCCAGGACCTCTTTGCAAATAGAATTTTTAAATGCTTTACAGCTACAAAGTTCTCGTGCTGTGTTATTTCAGTTGGCCGTACACTTATGTGAATAGCCTAGCTACATACCGCTGATGTATTCAGCGCATTGTATACTAAGGTCAAGTTCGCTGGATAGGTAAAACCCTCAGTGGATCTGTAGCCATTGTTCCAAAGAGGTGGCTTCCTAGTGTGGCGGTGACACGACATTAGTGAGTGTTCGTTCGTCTCCACACCCCTGGACCACTTAGGTAATCAGTTACCGCTTCGGGACCCATGGACCTGTCGTTATGTTAAGGTCGGAAGATGCACGTAAATCCAGCGTTTCAACATGATATTTACACTTCACTTCCAAGTGGTTGATAAGCTTGAAATACCAAGTGACACTACGGCCCTGATATGATCTGCCAACGAGCATTGCATACGCATAGTAAGCATAGTTTGGAGCAATTTCCTCCTTCAACAATGCCTCCGGAATTAACTACTTTCCAATGACAAAAGGTTAACGAGCAGTTGCCATGTCGATAACAACCTTTGTCACGGCGTGCACAAATAACTGCTTCTAAGACTAGCTGAAACAGTGGTTCATAGCAGGATTAGTGGGCGCGGTTGCCTGTGTAAATGATAGCAAACACAGTATAGGAACGCCCGTGGGTGAGACAACAGTGTTTGTCTGTTCCAAGTACTCACCTGGATTACCAGAGTAAAATGCGTGCGTCGCCACTAATTATCAGACTAGCGTATTTCCTAGCAGGACGATGTGACATGTACGAATACCGCAGTCATTATAGCCTCTTTAGGTGTTTCTTTGTTGAGTAATGCCGATTTCGTGAGGATAGCATTCCAGATCATGGACGTAATAGGGAGGTACCATCTGAATTGACTGTGCTTCTACTGGTGCTATTCGGAGAGCCACTTGTCAAAGAGTATGGGTGACCATATGGAAGTGAAGCCTAATTATCTTATGAATACATAGGTTCCTTTGACCTTTATATAACGCCATACATGCAGACACTGAGGCGATCACTGATTAACAAAGTCGCCCATGGGTGTGGAGACAAACGAACACTCACTAACGTCGTGTCAACGCCACACTTGGAAGCCGCTTAATTTGTGTTTAGTCATCAATTGCGATAGAAGTAAGCAAACATAGAACTTTCGTTGTTCAGCTTCAGGTTGGTCTACCAACTTCAATGGAAACAATGTCCCCCATGATCGTCGCAGTAACAATCGCACAAAATTGTGTAACCGCCTAGCAGCCATTGCTGAACTGCGGAATACCAGTTAGAAGATTGCCTGTCTACGCCACCATGGTTAGGCCGCTGAATAAGCCACCACCAGGTAGCCACTGACGATCACTATAGACCGCTTAATTTGCTGGTTATGATGTCTGTCCGCGCTGGTTACATCTTAAGCTTCGGATCATGTGGTAGCTAGGATCTCCTGCTTAGACAGGCATCACAATTTGCCCATTGGACGGTTTCAGTTTGGAGTCCAATCATCGAGGTTTCCTTCAGATAAGCATCAAAATAGAACAGAAGTTGGTTTTCGAGCACTTTCATTAGACTGTCTGTCGCTTATGGTGGGGACTTCTAACCGGTGTCCCATTGGCTTACGTCCCATGACCAATGAGAGTGTCAACGACGCGAAAACAGCGTTCTTAGCCTCGCTAAGTTGAAAACATTGCACGCGATTTCGAAAATGTGCCACGCTGAAAGCTTGGTACCGTGCACTAACATGTGTGCAAACTGGTATATACATCGTTCAATGTCCATAAAGTTACCTAGCTATTTGGTAGTAACGAAGTAATGCAAAGCAAGCCTCTAGACCGTAGTCTGTTGAGACAACTGGGCGAAGCTGTTTGTATCAGCCAAAGACTTACACACATGTCTCACATGACACACGATTTAAAGCAAGAAGTGGAGAATTGTTTGTTGGTGACTGCGAGTCAAACCGATAAGGACGCGGTGTTTTCTGAGCTAAACGAATTAATGTCATGGACGCACATAAGATAGCTACATAATGCCAAGGTCCATTCGTTCTGCTGCCACTGTTGCTTGGGAAGATCTCAATCCATCTTAATCTCTTGGATTCTAAGGTTGACAACAACAGTCGTCATATACGCGTTAAAAATGAAAAATATGAGTAGAGTCAGTCGAGAATTCAAACTGCGCAGGTAAGAATGTCGAAAATAAACAGACTTCTTTTCGTGATCGTGATAGCACTGTCTTGGGTGCTCTTAGATACGTTGACTTGGCGATAGTCAAGCGAATAAGCCTCCATAAATAAACAAACAACACTCTTTCGTATTAAAGCGCCACTATCCGACTCAAACCTCAGTCAGTGCGCTGGTCATCTGCCTTACTAATACACGTTATCTCTTGTTACTGCTGCAATTTCATCGCGCTAAATAATAGAGATGTCTACTGGTCACCCACAAACATAAGATTCGTCGACAGTCTCCACGAGAGAAAAGGACTAGAGCTAAATCACAGGTTAACCGTTTGGCAAAATAAACTCACTTTGAACTAGTTCTGCGGTTTGAGCTGCAGAGTTGTCTACTACTTGCTTTTGACCGGCGGCGTCTTCGTTTAGCTCCGTTGTCATTTGGTCATCCAGGGAGGAAGTAGCCTCCAGCTGATCAGTGAGACACTTTTTAAAAGATAGTGGTGAGCGGATGGGTTGAGCTTGACACCATTCAACTACTCGATTTAACAAGTGCTCTGCGTATGCGTGAAGGGAAGACAGCGTTCTGAAGTGAATACAAAAGGCAATGCGGTACTGAATATTCTGATCATGTCAGTATACGACGGAATGCTGTCAACTTGACTAGGATGAAAAATCGGCACACACTACTCACAAATGGAGGATTAGAAGTATGTTTACTGCATCGTACAATGAGGCTTTTTATACTGTGGGTTGTGGTGATCAGTGTATCGGGTAGGCATGGCGGCAGTGCAACTCAAGTCATTGGAACGTCAGGCTAAGAGTCTACCCCTCAGTCATGAACCAGTGGCTCGTAAAAATTGTTACAAAAGGACTAACGGGTAAGTGGAGGCCATTTCGAAGCGCTCGCTGTATACATGAATAGCGTCGGGGACTTGTTGGAAAATGTCATTCTCTAGTTATCGACAAAACAAAGTTGAAATCAACCCAGAATACTGCTTCAAATGTATCTCTTCTATAAATCAGCAACGAGTGCAAGCGAATGCAATATCAGTCTTGGCGGCCAACGTTGCGAATGATCAAAATCTGACCTGCGTCTATCTCGGTTACTATGCCATTGACAGGATTTGGCAAAGTTAGCTTCAAGGTGAATGGCACTTTAGGTTAGGGTTTCGTATCGTAATCTAGTCACAAAACGGATGTTTCAAAACGGCCCCTGATGTCACATTACTTCTAGAAGTATGGATAACCATTTATAAGGCATTACTGATCTTTATTATTCCCAGCAAACAGCACACGTCTCAGGTGGTACACACACTCCCAGTATGTGCATTAACGATGACCGAATGTAACGCTGGTACATAGTTATCATTCCATTCGGTTTGTCTGCAGCAATGTTCATGAAACGCTCTCTACCTTCCGCAGGTTATGTATGCCCAATAAACATAGATCCATGCATTTGAAAGTGAGTAATTTGTTTTCCTACTTTCACTAGCCGGTAATTAAATGGGGCGAGAGGAGGTGTCGTGTCCACTTATCTCACTTGACGTCGAGTATGTGATGGAATTATTCGGACAAGAGAAATATGCCGCCATTCCGAAGTGCCTACCAATTAGTTTTCTTTTCATTTCATTGGATTGACAGCTTAGCAACGGGTATCCCCAACAATGCGTTGGATATTTTCCCTAACGCTCATATATCAACTGACTGGAATTAGCGCTCGCCGGTTGATAATTGGTAATATACCCTCTAGAGGCGCAGCTGAATGGTAATTAATATTTAAGCCTCCGTGCTGATGATATTCTTTTCACACCTGCAACAGCGTGCCCTGTTGGGTGCCCTCTCTACCATCGTACATCTGATAGGAGGAAACTGCTGGAGGTCAGGTAAAAGAGATCACGTGGAGGATAAGGAATCATGCAAAAGGACCTTGTCTCTTTGGTGATTCAGATCTCCGTAATAATAGGTCCCGGGATCGAAGGTATCTATGGTTTTAAGTCCAATTTGACATGGTGCAGCGAGGAACTACTGCTGAGGTGCTTTGATAGTGAGCTGCGTAACGCTAGTACTTCAAGGCTGTTGCGGGGCTCTAGTACTGCAACCAGAAGCTTTGTATACAAAACACGTAGAATGCTGAATAATGTGTTTATCGAGCAAACTGCTAACGTAGTTAAATGAACCTCATATAAATTTCATGCAAATGGCCACCGTAGTTAACTAGCACCATTGTGCTTGGACGCGGTTATGTAAACTATAGAATTCAGCTCGTCCAATGCTACGTCTGCTTATGTAGACGCAACTGTAGGCGCAACACACACACGCTTGACGCGCGTGCTCCCGGGTCATTTGGAGTAATCCTCTCTATCTTCTCGCAGCGTAGTCACTGTACGCTCATTCGGACCGGATTTACCAGTTTTACACAATGATCCGTCATACGTGGAATTATCTTTTAGCACTAAAGTCCTAACGATCACTAACGGATTTGACTGTCATCCGTGATTGAACACAAGCGGATAGCTCATTCACTTTATGTCCATTGTCCTTCAGTGAAGAATTCTCGAGTCAGTCCGGAAAGCCCAATCTTATTCCAATGCGGTGTTTTTCAGCGCATCTGTATAGGAATTCGTGATCTCTCAACTTGTGTTCAGGGTTGTGTCTGGATTCGTTTACTAGGTCCCATACCAGCCGGGTCTAACCTCGATCGATCAACCGACCAACATTGCAACGTGCGCTCACAAGGGAACACTGGTGACAGCGTGCCCGCTCCACTGACTCACGTTTATTATTGACGCGGGAAACCGCACTGACTAATCATTCGACAGACGCGTGACCTTAAAACTGTACGCCCTCGGCGAACATATCACGTTAATGGTGGATGTTTGTGAGTAGTGTAAAGATCGAAGAAAGTAGAAGCCACGATTAAAATTCACGCACAATAATATGCCTCGACGGGGAGTCGAACCCCGGTCCACGAATTTCCGGTCCGCTGCTCTACCACCTGAGCTACCGAGGGCTGACGATTAGGTGCGCAAATTTTAACACATGTCTTCTGCTTGGTGCGCGACGTGTTGCCAATAAGCTCACAGTACCTGTCCTGATGTTGCAGACTGGCTCACTCACCCGTCACTTCCCAATAGACCGAAGTTCCTGTCCTTCAGACGTCCAATGGGCGATGGTAGATTAATGGTGGATGTTTGTGAGTAGTGTAAGGATCGAATAAAGTAGAAGCCACGATTAAAATTCACGCACAATAATATGCCTCGTTAAGAGAAAGTGTGAGTTGTGTGTTAAAGTGGTGAAGAGTGGGCTAGTTTGCGGTAGTTGCTTGAAAACCTATCACACAAAACGCCTTGGGACGGGGATGATAAAATCCAGACGGTACAATAACACGATAGGTGTGTTTTGGTTGTGACCAGTATGCAGTGCTATCACTTGTTAGATGTCTAAGTGTCTTACTGAAGAAGTGTGAAAGACTAACAGAAGCAGTCGAACAACTGGTGTGCCTCAGGGTTACACCTATGGGAGGAAGCGGACCTGCACTTGTATGTGGAAATAACACCCCAAATTCCCCATTTAGGCCGAAGAAAAGAGCCAGGCGTCCCATCCTTATCCCAACAACTCAGCCTCAATCTGTATCAACTCTCTTCTCCCTCTCCGATAAGTAAAAATATTGTCTGCAGCGTGCTTGCTTCAACTTCTGTCCAGTGTATTACACCTAGTAGTTTATCGCTATACAGGAGACCCTAAGCTGCAGTCAACCAGCCATAGCGAGGAACCATGTAACATACGCGTCGGTTACCGCTAAGCAAACACCGGAAATAGCACCGGTAATCTTGGTGGCCGGACTAGAGAAAACTAAAGTGTCACAGACGGATGGCCTCCATCAGTGCCGTTCGCAAATTCACCAAAAGCACCGGAAACTAGGGCTCCGAAACCAGTAGCCACCAGGCGCAACCATGGTGCCTTAAACTTCGTGTGTCCCCGAATCCATACAATTAAGGGTAGGCTGAGAGAGGATCGAAATCAATGGGGTTCCATCTGTACGGCCTTAAAACGTATCTCGCGTCACGCAAACGCATTGCACTACAGTTAGTTCGGTTATTTCGGGTAACACTAAACTCAGCGGATGAGACAGAGGCCATTCTGCTGTCTGTGAATCGACACCGTAACGCCTCAAGTGGAGTGCGCATACTACCTGAAATGCCGTGGAAAGAACGTGCAGCGGATCCCACTAACCGATAGAGGAACGGGAAAAGTAAAGGTAAGAAGACAGTGATTGCTCATGGTGTCCCTGAACTTAATGATTCTTATTCCTAGGATGCTCAGATAAATAACTGGGAGCAATGGTGTTACATCCGTGAACCTCTTTCTCTCAAAAATGTCGTGGCCACCTCGCTGACAAGGATCCCCTTATCACCGAACTATAACGGTGCCGTCCCAGGCTGTTGAAACTGGTGTTGCAGTCAGAACTAACGGCATAGACTCTTCTAGAAAACTGAGGGAAATTCCGTAGCAGGTTGCTAACAGAACGTTTTCTGAAAGTAGCAGGAACACCACCTTCAACGACAACTCAATGGAGATGTAGCTCTCCATGAAAACACCAACTGTAGGACCTGACTCGGTGACAGTTTTAACAGCAACCATAACATCCGGAGGGACACAGCAGAGCTCGAGCGAACACCAGAATCCGGGGCACCTGATAGTTGAATATATATCAAAGTCGTCTCGAGGGACTGCAACCCATAGAAAAAACGATTAACCGTTGACTTTTAGTCAGTCAGCGTAAACTCACTTGCTTCATCGATCCCATCTAACACACTTTTGGTCTCTGAGAAGCTCTCATGCGTGTACACATATGTCCTAGATCTATTCAGAAAATTAACTGAATTAAGACTTCGACGCGTCAGCAGCTTGTGACCTCATCACTATCATGGAAACATGGTTGCGCTGTGAGAAAACGGATGCCAAAATCGCGCCAACAGGTATGTCCTTTGTCCGGAATGATCGAGCCAGCAAAGCTGGTGGAGTATCCCACCAGTTTCGTAACAACCTGCAGTGCGAACTCATACACGATTCGAAAACCGATGTACCTGACTCGACTTGGTGTATCTTCCGGCTGAGAGAGAAAGAGCTTGGCCTAGTGGCTGTTGTTTACCGCCCACCATCGTCTACACCTGAGATGAACTGCAACTTGGTGGCTGCGTTGAGACAGGTGATAAACAGGAAGTACAGTCACCTTCTAGTCGCCAGCGACTTCAGATTACATGCTCTAGAATCCCAGGCCACACCAGGAGAGCAATTCAAAGTAAACTTGCAAGATATTGTCTCAAAATTTCAGCTTTATGTCCACGTCACTACCACCACCAGATTCAGGGCAAATAACAGGTCATCCATATTGGACCGAATATTCACCAATAAAGAACTGATGATGGAGAGAGTGAGAATCGGTAATCCTCTGAGCTGCAGTCATTATACGACTTTGCATTTCATGTACACTTGCTATACTGAGTATCCCGAGGGCAGGACTCAAACGACGCGAACCATAACCAGTTACAACACTTCAAGCCGACTGGTTGAAGCGACCGACTGGAGTTTACTAACCGAGGATTCACCCGATATGTCCTGGGAACGTTTCGTCAGTAAGTTCAACACCTTGGTTAGTGAAGCATTGGAAACCAAGACTATCAAGTATCCCTGCCCTACTCCTTCGGTTAACACTGGATATGGGGCATGTGGATGGAACTGAATGGTGCAGCCTAAGCCCCCATGGTCCCTCTGTAGGTGCATGTGTCCTGTGACCATTGGCAATCAATGACAACAATCAATAACTATATGCAAATATATTCACTGTGAAGATTATACTAACAAGTTGAGAGAACTTAGGCATTCAGTCAGCTGATTTGTGCTCTTTGGTGCTCCAAGTTATTTGGTGGGTAAACTGCGTAATACATAACTAATGAAGCGAGCACTTTTACTTGTGAAACACTTACCTCGATCGATTTTCGTTCTCGGTTGGATACAAAGTAAATCGCCGCAGCAGCAAATGAGGTCGGGTTGGACGGTCGCATACTTGTTCCTCGTTTACACGGGGCGGCATCAACAAGTTATCTGATCCGACTTCGCTTAAATTTCTTACATCCAGTTTTGGATACACGATATCCAGTCCTTTAGCGACGTTTTCACCAAATCTGGTTGGTTTTTCATTTTCTCTACATTGAATCCCTTCTTTAAACGGATGTGTGTCCCTCCACGTCAGACCACGTGGGATAATGTTTGGCATAGCATAAACTGCATGTCCTCTCTTTGCGCTTAGTGGCTTTATATATGTCAAACTGAGAATCTGCATATAGGAAAGGTGGTTACATCATGTTTGAGAATGTATTTGTAGTGTGCATGTTAGGAACCTACTTGCAAATGGCTGTCTGTGACGGGTTAAAAACGCGCACGTAGGGGAACATATGGTGACTTGGTAGCTAACAATTTTTGTGCAGCGCATGCGGTACTCTAAAAACGGGCTTGGTAAAAAGACAAGAATAGAACTTTAGTCGGTTACCAGCTATCGTTCCGAAATAGGAATACTGACTATTCAAATACCTTCAACGCTTTTTGGATTATTTTAGTAATATAGAAATAACGCCAACAGACGGGAAAATACTGTGTTAAGTATTTTTAGAATCTAGTGCAAAATGTTCGGAGACTCGTGGAATTCAGAAAAGGTTCGCAGTGTGTTCGGGTTGCTGTTTATATTGTAACAGAATCACGTACTTCGGTCACCATAATTTTGTCTTAATGACCGAAATCCCCATGGATCCATATGTTGCGACGATATTCACCAAAGCACGTTCAATTATTGGTGCTCTAAACGGTTATAAAAGTGAACAACATTACATCATTAGTAAACTAAGTCCAAGAATAGAAGATACTGATTAGCGCGTATTATATTCTACCGGTCATTCGATACAACCCACTGATTACGGGCCGTTCGTAACACAGGTGAGCAGGAAGGGTATATGTTCATCATCACTCATTCATTCTACAAGTAGGACACACAGAACTATTAAGTCAGAGATAGAATGGCTCGTGCAGTGACTTTTCTGGTGCTGACTAGTTACCCACCCTGTGACCTGATAAGAGTGTATCGGACGACAGCTGTTTTCCAGTAATCGACAGCACTTAACTGTGATTGTGGAAATAGTTAAAGGTTACGTTTTTCCCACACGCAGCATTGCACATCACAAGCGCTTTCGCGTTTGTTTGTACTGGGCAGTTGCAGAAACAACTCTTCCAGACATCCCCTCAAGGAGAGAAACGATCCAGACTTACCTCAATTTTAACATCTTCGTACGCGCATACATAGTTCCTTTCCCCTATGAGCCAAAATTTTTCAATTCGCGTTGTATACAAACAGGGATAATACACCTATCATGAGAACATTTTGTTTCGGTTCTATGGTATGTCCCAAACGTACGGTCCCTTTTTACTCCGATGCGCAGTGTCCAATCTGCAGGCCTTAGGGTGACACAAGAGCGCACTAAATTGCCAACGGTCCAATGGTAGTTGTTGGCCTCCCAAAATGTCATAGGGGTGCGAACGACTGCATTGATGTCCGAATGCGTGGCCAGTGGGCCTGCAATCTCAGTGCTGGCGTACTGATGATGGATGGACAAACCGACCTCGACTGACATCACATGCACATCGCTATTGAAATGCCACGCTGACGTGCTAGTCTCCTCCATCGTTGCAACGCTGGATGGGCAGAGAGCACCAGCTGGTAAGTATTCGCCGCACTGAATGGTCTTGGTACGATCGATCGATATGAGGCAGGTTAGTAAGCTAGCCACAGCCATCGCTGTCGTTCCGCTGCGTTAGCAATGGAGAACGAGCACCCTATACAACCTCAGTCTTGTAACCTGCCTGCGAACCAGTGCGTGATCGTTATGCGATTCTTTGGTCCGCGTCAATCGAACGCGGCCGAAACAGCTCGCGGTTACCATGCTATCACCTACACAATGTAGCCATTGTGTTGCAAAACTTGAGCTGTTCGTGCGTCCTAAACAATTTGTTGCCATTCGAAAGCGGTGTTACGAGGCCAGACGTTTTAATGTACACGGTACCCGACTTGCTTCTTTACGAGTAAGGCCTTTGTGAACTAAGACGCGAGGTGGGCTACCTAAGTCAACCCTCTGCACTTACCTGCCTAACTGAAAAACGCTATCCGCACACAAAACACATGAACATGAATCTACGTAGTCGTCTGATCGCTTACGAGACATATTCACGCTAAAACTAACAAGAGATACGAAGGGTGAAGTCACCGACCAAGTCGGTGTAGGAAGAACAATTAGTGCGCGCGCAGAAGCAGTGCTACTTATTCGGCATCCAAGTAATAGCCAACTCCGCGCAATTAGGTTACACCGCCATACGATTATCCAGGCACGAGGCAACCAAACGCAGTTTGTTTGTTGTAACGGTAAATGCTCGCACTGATTGAAGATTGGACTCCGCTATAGAGGATTCTCACTGTCAACCCTACGAACTGTACCACAAGAAGCGTCCCACGGATATCGTGGTTCTCGTCGGGGATTCAAACACACACATTGATAGATTGGAAGCTGATGAACACGACTCCCGCTACCTACATGAATATGGTACTTGCAAGGACGGATTAAGGAGATCGACTTCTGCAGCTCTGTGATGCTCACGGTTTATTCCTCTAGAGCAAAAACCGGCGATCGTGGCGACGCAACTTGCTAGGACAATCGTGGAAGCCGATTGATCACAGGACCATCAGTTAATGTTGGCGAGGCTGTATGACAGACAGCGAATCAAGTAAAAGTAGTTATTTGCCGAATCGTATAGCAAAGCTCGGGGCGCTTTTGCTAACCTTCGCCACTTATGGCGCCGGCGCGACATCACTCTTTCCCTGAAGGGTAGAGTGTACAATGCAGCAGTACGTTCGACCCTATTGTACGGTTGTGAAACCTGGCCCCTTAAAGCAGCGGACCTGAAGAGGCTAGTTACGTTCGACCACCGGTGCCTTCGTAATTTAGCTCACATTTGGTGGGAACACCGCGTGAGTAACGAGCGTGTTCGACGCCTTGTTTATGGCACAGGAAAAGAAAATGAACCGCTCAGCACCGTTATTTCACGCATCAGGCTCCGATAACTGGGTCACGTGTTACGCATGCCAGCTCACCGACTTCCGCGACGTGTGTTGTTTGCGCGCCGGGGGTGTGGATGGAAGAAGAGGAGGGGTGGCCAAGCGATGACTTGGTCCAGAGGAATGAAGACCCTCACTTCTGAGCTGGCCTCGGTTGGAGCGTCTCGGCTCCCTGGTTGGAGTTCGAAAGATTATGAACACGTTTGGTTGGACACACTTGCTGATATGGCTAGGAGCCGACCTCAGTGGCGTTCGTGCTGTGAGTTTCTTTGTCCCACCCCATCTCTCTTAGCCTCCCCCTCCAACCACGATCTCATTACTTAGCCTTATATAATTTTGCATAATAATTTTTTTGGGTGCACAGCAGCCGGCTGGTAGCTTACGGGAACGATGCCCATCCGTTACCGGTAGCTCAGCCAGCTTTCACCAGTTGTTTTTTCCCTCCATTTTTCTTTGGATTGCGGCACAGTAGCTGAGGTGTTTCCCACCTCTAGCTAACGTGTATGATGATGATGATGATGATGAGTTATTTGCCGCTGACAATTATATATATATATATATTTATATATATATATATATATGTGCTACTTCGGCCTGGGCAACCCGGTAGTATCACGCCCACTGACGAATCATGGACCACACTGCTTACTACTGCTCATGCTAAGCCTATATTATGTGCTAACACAACTTCTCAACCTCCACTCACTACAACATGCCAATGGATTGTGACGCGTTTCGCAATCGAAAGTGTGCAACTCGGTGAACTGGTTCACGCAGATCGATATAATCGTACAACGGACTTTCCATCAGCCTCAGCCATTGTTGGGTGTTTATGAACGTTCAGTTGCAAAGTACCACCTGGCCAGAAACGTAGAAAAAAATGTTATGCCTCATTGATTCGATATACCGAGAATAAGAAACCTATCATCTCGTTTTGACTATTCGTTGTTGTTCAAGACAGAAGGAGTGCAATTTAACGACAAGTAAACGGTATGTTGTCCTGTTGCCAAGGTAAGTCGACAGCTTTTATGCATCCATCTCCTCCCGGGTGCTGAACACGTTTGGAAGCCGTTGCAGGTCTGTCAAATATCCCCTCAAAACGCGCCACAAACGCCGGCGTAATGGCTGTGGAAAGAGGAGTCCAATTCCTCCTCACAACGTAGCAGTGTTCAGCCACTCCGAAACGCGGCTCATCTGCGCACCTGTTGATAATGTTCATTTGAAAACTACCACCCCGTCATGGTAAAGTTTTCCTGAACCTAATAACCTCTCGTGTGCGCCCGTTCCGAGGGCTCATCGTCTACCCGAATACGTGCGGCTAGGATCATTCGCACGCTCGCCCAATTTCCGTCTCACCAGCGCGTACCCCGGACTAAGGTAATGCCATCAGGTCAGCGCAAATCCGTTCGATTGGCCAGCGTTCCAAGCCGTTACCGTAGGCGTGCTCCAGCCGTGCCGATGACAGTCTTATTATGCATCTGCACAGTTATAACAGAAGCTCATCCGGAACAGCTTAAAATTAAGGCAACGTTGCATTCTTTTAGACTGTCCAGTATCCTACTTTCCCCTCCTGCTTAGCGAGCCCTGAAACGCCCTTCCAATTCAGTCCTTTATGCATCCATCATAAGTGCGTCATGTTAAACTATGCTCGATCGGCCGCCTTCCGTTGCCTGGGGAACGACATTAACTTATTCCCCTCCTCTGTATGCCAGCGATTACGTTTGCGTTTCTATTGCACTCGGTCTAGTCGTCACTAGTCTGCAACCTCACGTGGAATATACCATCCCGGTGTGGCATCCCCGGCGGAAACAACGTCTCGCTGCTCCCTAAACTCCGGAACGAAGGGAAACCAATCATGTCAAGAGCCCACATCATCTGTCTACGAGCTCATATTAAAATCCCTTGGGATGTACCTCATGGGTATCTGCGCTTTCGAGGGGTACTAAAGCTCGAAGGCATCCGTTACATCAGGATGTCTTACCAAATGCTGAAGAATCCCAGAGACCTTTGTCGCTCATGCAATTCATTCATAACACCTACCTGAGAAGCCATCAGATTAAATTTGGCAACAGTATACCCAGCTATAATGCCCGATTGACATCGCCCAGTGAGTGTGCTAGCTGTGGAATTTCATTCACTGGTACGTAAGCTCGGTCCCCACTGCACTAGCGAATAAACTTTATGCTCTGTGTTTAAATCCTTCGTGGAAACGCACTCACCATCATTACGTTGAAGGACCCCACTCTGTTTGATGGCGCTCATAAAATATCATCAAAACATCCCAACAACATTTGGCCATCCCATGTCCATTGGCAGTTTCGACAACGAACGATACTCAACGTGCAACCCAGTACCGTGAGCGCTAACACCGCCATTTCGAATTTCCTGCTGCAATGTCCGTAGCCTTGAGATGTTAGTCTGCATGTGACCAACGCGGCCTTCTCGTTGACGCAGACACAGCGCGGTGCGCCGTAGCTTTCATGAGGCGTTCCTTGGTATTGATTTCAGCGACACAGCGAAACGACAGCGTTGGCTGTGGCTAGCTTACTAACCTGCCTCATATCGATCGATCGTACCAAGACCATTCAGTGCGGCGAATACTTACCAGCTGGTGCTCTCTGCCCATCCAGCGTTGCAATGATGGAGGAGACTAGCACGTCAGCGTGGCATTTTAATGGCGGTGTGCATGTGATGTCAGTCGAGGTCGGTTTGTCCATCCATCATCAGTACGTCAGCACTGAGATTGCAGGCCCACTGGCCACGCATTCGGACATCAATGCAGTCGTACGCACCCCTATGACATTTTGGGAGGCCAACATCTACCATTGGACCGTTAACAATTTAGTGCGCTCTTGTGTCACCCTAAGGTCTGAAGGTTGGTCACTGAGCATAGGAGTAAAAAGGGACCGTACTTTTGGGACATATCATACATCCAATTAACATTTTTATTTTTAATGTGGCATCTCAGGGGCAAACGGCACCATTTGGTATGTGTGTTTTTGTCATCTACCTTGGTAATATTATGTTTTTAAGCAAAGGTCCATACCTAGGATTAGTGTATTACACTGGGATAGGGTATCGCAATCCTCTCACACAACGACGGCTTCGAACGAACCGTATTGTGTTTAAGGGGGTTCACTGGGTTTGATTGGTAAGTAATAGCTAATTGATAATCTTAAGGCAGATGGAGCTGCAGCTCCGCTTTTGTAGCTAAGAAACATCGGTTACCTCTTTTGCTAACAACAATTTAGCCGAGTGTATTGCTACCGGTGCCTTCGCTTCATTCTTGGACTAAAGATATTCTCTTTTTACTTACATTTGGCATAAAGATAGCTTGCTCCACCAAGAATGGGGAACTGAATAAGTAAAGATGAAAGCGACACATACGTTGCGATTTGTCACGTGTGGTTCTTCTATAAGAATAGCTTCCTCGTTATTTTCAGCACCGGCAACCGCGGGAGGTGAAGGAGTGGAATTCCATTCGCAGCATTCGAGATCATTGGACCACTCGGGTGGAACAGTAGAAACTTGACGAGCTTCGCCCACTATGTCGGCAACGTCGGAACGTCTCATCAACTCAAAGCATTCTTTACTATTTTGATTGTAGTAAAAAAGCAATGGCAAATGTTCGTCAACAGATGGGGATGCTACCGGAGTGAGTGCTTGAGGGACGACATCAGGTGCGCCGTACTGTTTGTCTCCATCCGGCCCAGCTGGACTAGGTGGCTCGTCTGGGCTGATCGCTTCTATCGTGTTGGAGTCTGTGCTGTCCACCGAGGGTTCATCTTCAGGTTTGACTGAACGAAAGAGACATATTGGTTGCGAAACTGAAACTGAAACTGAAAACCGTGTCCGATAGCATTTATCCAACTGTGTCGCAATCCCACCGAAAGATATACTAAGTGTGATGTTTTTCCGTTATATCTTTTTCAACGGGATTTCTAACACGCCTTCAACTTAATCCACTACAGTGCACTATGATTTATGCCGTGTAAAAAAGCAGTTGCTTGACAAGTCCCGTAACTTGACAAGTAGGTAATTTTCGAGGGCTTTAACTGAATCAAAGCTATTACTTTCCCCAAAGGCAACATTTTCGCGCTGCAGTCACATTACAAGTAGTGGTACTTAACCTATCTTCCTCGGTAAACTCACATGAATTCAACAGGAAAACGTTTGAAGGCCACACGCTCTTGACAATCAAGTGAACAGAGGTTTTAATTTGGTGTTGTTCTTCCCAACCGTTGCAACACCCAATTACATCCAGTCAGGATACGGTCCTCGAGATCGGAATGACCGAGGTTTACCTCAAAGTGACTCGAGTTCACAAAAGAGGTTGCGAGCCGCAATCCAACCATACAGCATGCTCCCTAAATTCAGCTTTGAACAGAGGTTTATTCATTTGAGACTTTACGAAAGTTTCCGTTGGCACAAATGGATGTCTCAGTATAGAAACAACAATGAAATGAGTGTAGCGAAGTTTTGCTCGTTCCACTGCCACATAAACAGTGTTGCCTTCAGTTCTCTCCAGAAATCACACTCAGTTTGCAGTGTCGTTATTTGCACAGTACACCCCAATGAAAATGCGACTGCGAAGCATTCGACACTGAATGTCTTCCAGACCAACCGCTGGAAAATTATAACCACTTGCATTTAATCCGCAACTTTTTATTGTAGTATATTCACCCGGGTTTCGTAACATCCGATGAGTCTGGTAGCCTCGATGCTACGTCAAATGTCCTCAACATTTCTGGAAATGCACGACCACCTGAGAATCTGTCCACAATCATTTTCGTCTGTAGTAGCACTATCACAACTGCAAGTGAAATGGTAGTTAAGGTAAGAGACCGGATTGCCTGATAGGCTGTGCTGTCTGTTATGGAGAATAAAAATGCGTGGCGTGAAAGATTTGCCACGGTGTGGTTGATATTGTGCGTGTTAGGGTGAATCTGAGTGTGAGCTGAAGTGGTCCGCAATATGTTTTTCGTTAATCAACAGGAAGAAATACGTATCCCATATCTCTGTCTTCTCAGGCAGTATCTGATCTTTAGGTTTTGCTTTATATTCGGATGAATTTTTCTGAGTTCCCCCACTGGTCCTCCATACCTCCACCTTATTTTATTTGCTTCCACTGCTAACATGGGTTAGTTGAACCACTGGAAAATTGGTTACCTGAAACCCCAAATCTAGTCAACTAGTAACACATAACTTCACTTCCGTTATACCTGCTTACCCGCGTTCCATTCGTTTGTAGAGCCACTGTCGCGTTAGTGTGTTGTACACCAAGGTACTACCATTACCACCAACTCACTCTGTCCTCGCTTTGTCTTTGGTTTTATTACTCGCTAGTGAATGAACCGTTCATATAATGATTGATGGGATTCGCTGTTACATGTCTTAAACATTCGTTGGCCTTCTTGCCCGATAACATACCTAAACCAATATCCGAACAGTGTTGGCCTATGAAGTTAATGACCTGAACCTTTTTACCTAGTATACAACCAACTCGTGCTGAATACTCTGCGTCATGACCACTAGTCACAAACCATGCTCCCAACATATATGTACAGCTTATTTGCTGAAATGCTTCCCGCCGTTCAGCCGGCGATAATATGTCCCAGTTTCTAACTAACCACCCATTCCACGTCGGAACGGATTATTGTGCAGTTTAATCGTGGCTTCCACTTTCTACAAAAAGTACACTACTCACAAAAACCACCAACCTTCGGCTTTAAATTTTGGATCCATGACCCCTACATCCCAAGTTAAATCCAAAGTGGCGCAGACGCACACATGCGTGCCGCTTGTCGTGACTAATTGCAGTTCAGCTAATGCTATCACACAAGTGCACTATCACTCATCAACTGGTGCAGCGTGCTTGGTCCATGCAAGCAATTTCCTAAACACATTTAGGGCTGTGAACATCCAACACATCACGTGATGCACGTGTGGACATCGAAACATGTGGCCAAGCGCGTGATGTCCATAGGCGGTTGAGCAAGTACTATACACCCACGCATAGAAAAAATAAAGACCCAACAAACAAGTGCATGGCCGGAAAACCGACTCGATTTCTCATCTGCGCTCTCCACCTAACGTGAGGTGAGCCGGACACTGAAACAGCAGCCATTGACCACACTGAAGCTAGCTGCACGCAAGCTAAGGGGACATGTTGGTCAATACCATGTGGTATGACCTATGCTAGTGGCATCTACATGTCCTGTACTTGTACCTGTACCTGTCCTGTACCTGTATATCTGAAATAAGCAATGTGAGCTACCATTAAAAATGCAGAATACACACCAAGCGTTAGCTAACGGTCGGTGTGGCCGAATTACGTGTTAACTGCTGTTGAATGTAGGGCATGCTCAGCGTTAATCACGAGGGGAGCATCAGCATATGCACCGCAATGCACGATGTACCGCATTGACTGCGGAAGAGCACCTTGTTAATTGTGATACGAGCAACGGCTTAGCAATAGCTTGTATTTGCTGGCCTGTATGCAATTACTAGTCTATTGCAGTCGCTCACAGGGTGAACGAATACGGTTGTGACGAACCGTCATGAGTTAGTGTGAAACGAAGATGAAACGATGATCTACGTTGACGTGTGGTTGTATTGCTTCGGATCAGCCTGCCACTGTTGCCAGCCACAGGACGCCGGATGTCGCCAGCCAACCATGTGCTCCATGCTGAGGCTGATATTCAATTCGATGTTTCTTCACTGCAGTTGGGCTAAACCAGCATACCCTTAATTCAAGCCTTTTAAGCTGGATAAATTTCATTCCACCTTGTTTGGTTTGTTCTACCTACCTGAATAATCTTCCATTAACTTGCACTCGAAGCATACACTAATTGTGGTTATCTCCGTTAATTTTATCGCGTTTGTGGCATGGTTTTAAAAGCTTGTGGACATTTTGTACTTACCGCAGATTCGTTCTCAACCAACGTAATTCATATTGCATAGTTAGCGAAGAGTTATGTCGGCATAGCCGTATGCTTTAACAGATATCTTATATTTGAGAATGTCATTTCAAGTGATTGGCTGTTGTTTGACATCCTTGATGTGCATGTTGACAAGGTGTCTACCTGTCTATTACCCACTACCACGTCCATAATGGATCCAGAAGACAGTTGGTCGTTGCTGGAGGGGACGGGGTGCACGGTCCTTGTGGTCGTGCTAGGCTCGTAGAGTGGTTCCATGCACTCAGTGTGGAGCGGACTACGCTCCAGCCACCGTATTGTGTGCGGTTGATTCCCCAAATACAGCGTGTTTGTGTTTGCCTGTGAAGGGGTGTGGGCCGGCACCGTTGGTGAAACTTGGCTCCCATCCACATGTCTCCCGGTCTTATGCCTTCGGATTTACACTGGATATGGGTGTGTGGTTGGAGCTGTGGGTGTTGCAGCGCAAGCCATCCATAATCCACCAGTAGGCACAGGCGTCCTGTGGCTGGCCACAGTGACAGGAAAATCCGGAAACGAATGCAGCCAAACATGGTTGTATTGCCGGCATTTGTGAATGTGACGCCGTATTTGTGATTGTTCTCGCTCAGGTGTAAGAAGGAGAGCAGTGAAATCTTCGTATTGGATGACCCACGTCTGTGGATCGGGTTAGCTCATCTGGATACGCAAGAGGCAGTGACTTTAGTTAGTTTGCGAGTCACATCCGCCAAGTCACAGTGTTGTTAAACGGATATTTGTGGCGTTTTATACAAAAAATCCTTGTCAGGAGAAAACCCACCATGTTCCGAAACACTGCCGCCGAAATATTTGCTGGAAGTTGGTAAACCCGAACCAACCAGCTGACATCACGAAGCGGTTGTTCGCCTAGCTAGATGAATGTATTTTTTGTAGTAGATCTGTGCGCTGCATCAGCATGTCGTGAAGTCGTTCGCAAGGATACACGGCACTCTTGTCTTCAGAACTGCATTTCACCATACATATTGCTTTCAGTGTTTAGACGCTAAACTGCGTTGTCCAGAATCTACTTCGATTCAGTTTGGAAAAATGTATAGTGCTGCATCTGAGGCACAAGTTGGTTCATTCCCACAAACTCGGCAGCCAAAAGCTTTAAACGTCTTCTGGCGAGAAGGATGTGGAAGTTTTGTCCAGGTTGACCTTGGATGTTCGAATCAGACTGAGGCGGCCAAAGGGAGGGGCTTCCAACACGTGGGCCTCCTGAACCATGCACTCGGACTATTCGACCCTTCGATTTTTCCACAACTTCTCGGCTCATACATACGGCCACATGTGGAATACGTAGTACAGGTTCGGCAGCCATGACTGAGGAGAGATATCACCGCCTTGGAGATACCCCAACGCCGAGCAACCAGAGACGTCAGGGGTCTATAGAATTTGCCGTATGAACGAAGGCTTCAAATGCTCGGGGTCTTCAGCGGACAATATCGGCGATTGCGCGGAAAGCTCATTTTGGCTTACCATATTTTGAGAAATCCCAACTACACTTGCCGCCATTTGCTAGAGCTCATTCACTAAGCGCAATTTGGGTGGCCACTATATCAAACTAGCACGGTAGCAAAGTCGTTTAGAATGCCGTCGGAATTGCTTTTCCGTATGAGTTTGCAGAACATGGTATACCCTACTGGAATCTGTCATATGTGCTCCCACGCTGGCAGAGTTCAAATCCAGGGTTGATCTTGCAGTCATTTTACTGCACCATCTTACATGACCCATTACCCATTGATAAACACAAGTGTCTGTAAGAGTTTTCACTGGCGGTCAAAGCCTAGGTATCGTTTCAAATTTTTCACCTCCTGCATGTGTACACCAGAAGGAGACACGATGTTTACCAACATCCAATTTGCCGTCGTTTCGCATGGATTTACCTTAGATTTACAGTCTATACCAGGTATATTTCAATGAGTTCATTGCGTAAACCCTGTTTTGTCAACCATTTATTTATTTATTTAAAACTTCAGTGGCGTAGCCATTGTATTGACTAATAACGCAAGTACTTTTTATTATTGCATTGAGGCAATAAATGTAGCTATTTATCTTTTCAAGGTGTTGTACGGTCAGCATATGCAGAAACAAACGTGGATAGGTTAAGTCTGTCGGTTTGCCGTGCAAGAAACCTGGAAGCGTCTCGGTTTGGCTCATCAATAATCTGGCCACCTTACATGCACCCTACCTAACACGTGCATCGCCACCGCCGAATCTCACAGTAGAGCATTATACTTAGACGTCGCCGTAACATACGCCTCAGGTGTTCCAGCAGCGCTACGTGCACTTCGCTCGCGGTATCTCCTATACACACATATTCACAGTTATTGTGAATACATTTGTGAACACAGTTAGTCATCTTATCTACGAAAAGTGTGTCGTTCATATACACGATTGTTGACCAGATCCCAAGTTTCATTCCTTGCTTAGGGCCGTCGGAAAAGAAAAGGAAGTTCCTTCTACCTATAATATTCATATCGTCCCAATCCATTCCGCTGTATATTTTCAATGTGATTTTATCATATTGTGAAACATGTCTTTCACTACCGGTTTCGGGTGTCCACTATTCAGTAATTACCTTACTGTCTACTTGTAAGCGACGTTCCCAACTTCCTTCCCTGTGCATATGGCCTTATCTGTGAAACACAGAGATCGGAATTGTAGGGCTGTGTCCCGTCTGTGTCCGCCGGTTGACGAAATATCTGTTGGGAAGCTAATCATTCTTGCAAACAGAGCAGTCAAGAAATGGCGATGTGCCACTCTATGATGAGCGATTTCAGATTCCTCACAAACTAGCTCTTCTTATCCACTTTTATGTTCAAAATGTGCCATCCACTTGATACCAGCAACTTTTGGCCATTTACTGGAGTTTGTTAGTACTATGTGCAACATAGTGGACATTGGCTATCTACTGATAACACCAGGTTCTCGAGTGCCTACTTCCGACTGAAACCCGAGCTAGAACAACATACCGCGCAATGTCTTAATTTTGATTGTTTCAACCAACTTAATTTTTGGTCACTCCCTAGGTTAATCTTTACAGTCAAACAGCGTTTCACCATACCCAGTGCGTCGCATTTCGGCATCTTGGTGAGGAGTGCGCTAACGTTAACATAGATCATCGTTTCATCTTCGTTTTACACGAAGTCACGACGGTTCTTTACAACCGTCAACGGCTACATTAAACAAACGATTGAATATGGACCAGTAAATGCGAACTTTTGCCAACCCGGTAATCTTGTCACAATTAACGCGGTACTCTTCCGCAAAGCTCGGTGCAGTACATCATGCTTTGCCGTGCAGAAGCTGATGCTAACCTCTTCATTCAGGCCGATCAACTGCAGTTAACAGGTAATTCGGCCACACACACCGATACCTAACGCATTGTTCCATGATAGCGCGTAATGAAGCACCGCACACATTAATTATTTCACCTAGACAATATTAACCACACCAGATCACACATAGACACCGCTATGTCTAGGTCACACCACATGAAGTTAACGGACCTGCCTGGTAGCTTGCATGCAGCTAGTTTCAGTGAAGGCAATCGATACCGTCTCATTGTAGAGTACATTTCATGTCCGGTCGTCTGCGCTTAACAGTGAACACTGTGAACGCGGATGGCCGGTCAGTTCTGTGTTGTGTGTCTTGATGCCGCGTAAGTGAGTGGGTGGGAGTTACAGTACTTCCTCAACCGTCCATAGATGCCGCGTGCTAGTCCGCACCTATCCAACAGTGAATGTGCTCACATGTTGTTTTCACCTCCGCATGTGCATCACGTGGTTTGTTGGCTGAGCGCAGTCTAATCGCTGCACCAACCGATGCAGATGTTCTGAGTATTCTTGTACTGATTTGCAATTTGTCAAGACGATGGGCACGCACTTGTGCGTGTGCGCCACTTGGATTCAACTTGATGTGCTTATGAATTGAGTTGAATATTCTTAAGGAGGAGCTTGACTCCGTTATGGATTGACTCGAGTAGTAAAAGGTATAGTCTATGTGTGTTCGTTCACTTGCGCTAGCTGGTTTGCATTCATTCACGACATTTGTAGTGCACCAGAAAACATGCTCTTTCAGTACTCTGTAACATTGGATTTTATGGTTGTTTTAACCTTCGAAACGTCCATTTGTTTAACTGACTGCACATCTGTTGTGACAAACCGTTTTGGTGAGTTCCAAGCTGCACGTTTCTCGCTCTGTCTGATTCGCTTCCTATTCTTGTAGCCTGCACAATACACGTTGGGTTCAGTCTCCTCCGACTTCTATACTGTCGTATTTGACACGTCTTACGTGTCATTGCTTACCGACTAGTATCCCAGGTTCCGCCCAACACATTCGGCATGGATTTGTGCGTCTGCGCCACCTTGGATTCAACGATGTGCTGATGGAGTGAGTCGAACATGCTTAAGGCGGAACTATTATTTTAAGGAGTAGCTTGCTTTCCTTATGGATTCTATTGACTCGGAATTGTGTAGTATAGCCACGAAAGGTGAATTGGCACACTCACCGAATATATGTACCTGACTCGAAACTGCTGATTTGTGGAATTGGCTGTATGACGGTAATGTCTATCGTGTTACCACGCTCCACCCCCCAAAGCCTGTCGTGATGACGACATGAGTGAATAAGGGTCCACAAATATGTTTGATTTGATGATGGCCCAACTACTTATAAGAACTGCCCATGCAAATAAAGAAGCATCGTGATGACGGCCTGTTTACAAATACTAACAACAACAACAACAACATGAGTCAGAACGTTGACGACTTAGTTGATGTGACCCACGTCAGCACCTAAACAGATGAGACGTAGAACCAGGGATGGAACCTTTCGAGGGATTACACCGCATTGATGCAGGTTACCGGCAGTCGGTTCCATAGATGGTCGTATTACTTTATTTCTACCGCCAGGTTTACTTACATTTATTCCTATACGCAAACCTTTAACTACGTTTAAATGATATACCACTCCTCAAACTCCATTGGGATCACAAATATCTTGGCCAACTTTCTGTGCTATTCACTTATATTGTACAAAATGATCAGGCCACTTAATCGGTTGTGTCTCGCCAGATCGAAAATATACCATTTATCTATTTATTTGTAATTTATGGGAATTAAACATCCCATTGGCGTTTTGCGAGGAAGGGTGCAATTAACTGCGCCTTTGAATATGACATATCTAGCGTGCCTTGTTATGCATTTCCTTTGGTGCGTTTGCGTTGAGTTGAAACAAATTCCGAAGTGCATACAGTGGAACCGAATGTTTAGCGACTGTGAGCCCAGCATCTGGTACCCATTACTTTTGCGAAGTCACCTATTGGTGTGTATCGATGGACATTGTGTGTGCAGAACTGACCAACCAACCTGGGGTGTTAATGCGAGCTTGAATATGTACATGTATCACGCTTTTCTTACAAGTCTGTATTACTTGATGTAATGAGAATATGTGCCATGTGAACTGAGCTTGTGTAGGAGTACAGTAATCGGACAGCATATATACCATTAAAGTGTCAGTTCGAAGTTTGTTCAATCAGTTGAGCAGCGTGGGTTTAACAAATCATCTTACAATCGGTCCATTCGATGCTAACCCGGTTAATTTCCGGTGCAGCATTTTTAAGTCAGTCGCTATTTTTGTGTAGGAAAATTGGTTTGTTGTAGCAAACAGAAAAGCGGTGTTATCATTTCACGCATCGTAGCGAAAATATATTTGTGTCAAACTAAGTTAAGCGTAGCTTCCAGTTTAGTCTTATTATGAAAGATGTCTATTACGATCAGTGCATATGAATGATAGCTAGGTTACAAATATTCATTCACCACAAATCCAACAGATTGTTTAGCTGCGCAAAACTAACACCGCCTCTGAACTGCATTGATTGGCACTTAAACCAAACGGCCTGAGTGCTCTGGTGGCCTTTCGGAATGGTAGAGATAGCCCAAAGACAAAAAAGCTAGCGGAGGTTCTGTCTGATGGAGCGTATGAGAGATGCTGTCGCAATATGAGCCCATAGGCTCAATTGTCCGCAATGCCACAGGCTCAAAATACTTGTGTAAGATGTCTTCCGGAAAATCCATGCAACCATAGTAAACTAGATGGTGTTACAGAAAAGTGGGCAGTATCTTAGCGTTTTAACCTTAATTCTACTCCAGTGTCGTAGCAACTGCTTTCGCGGCCCGAGGCGGTGATAAACTTTTTGCCCTGACTAAAAGAGGAATTGGCGCGTGAAAACCATACAATCGGCTGAGGGTAATGGGAATTATTTTGCGATGAAATAGACACTTGTCTGGGACACCGAGGTAAATGTGGTGAAAGCGACCACAATTGGACAAGGGGATCGCTTGGAAAACGTTTGTACTAGAGTGACGCATGGTGAAAAGAGATGTTGTTGGACATACCTAGTAACATTAAACTATTCCACCCTCAGATTATCTAGTAATTTTGCGCTTTATGTTTGTTATCGAACAATCAGCGGCACTAAAAATGCCGCCACCTCTCACCTGCGATGCGGGGCGGACCACCCCACCCTATGCCTCTGTTCTAATCTATCAAAGAGTTCGGCCGCCAGGTAGCGGAAAGAGGCAAGGTATATGGACCTAGCAATTATAGCTATTGTAGTTTCTTAGTATAAACATAACACATACAAATCATTTTAATGTCTTACTTGTAAGTAGAACATTACAGTTGGCAAAGTGGTCGACTGTGTACATGTTTCCTTCGGGGTCCACAACATCCAGTAGCTCCGTTGCTTCAGTGCATCGCATACAGTAGGTTGACGTAAGAGGGGCTTCTGACAAATAAGCATGCCTATTCTTCTGCACTGGTGAATAAATTATCGACCCATCAGCTGTCATCTTCAATCGACCTCCACCAGAGTGCTAGGTGAAAAGAAGACAACTCACTCACTCACCAAATACAATAAGTTTGTCAGAAATCTGCCATTAGAAGCTACATCAGCGACAAAGACGAGCTGCCTTCAGCTGAATAAAGAAGTGCAATAAAACTATATAATTAAGTACATTTATCTGTTAATTTATAAAAGGAGACGTTAAATGATAATGCCTTCTCCCGTAGAGTCTCGAACCATTTAGCAGCTCGAGAGACTGCACTACGTGTCCTGCTGATACAAATACAAGGAAAGAGGTGTTCATTTTTGTTTATTAAAACATCGCGAGTTGAAATCAGTCTCCATGAAGCATATCAGTGGTCGTTTCTTTTAATCATTATTTCAAGTTAAACGTCTCTCAAGCAGTTAATAAGCAGGTTACACCGTGACGTCAAACAGGTACACGTAGGTAGTTTATCTTGAAATTCCATTTGACAACACTTGATTGAAATGGGTCACCAAGGTCGGGTGTGTCCTAGACGCCACCAAAAGTAGCTCAAGGAACATCTGTTGCTCACCGCCGAGGCCATTGGAACCAGGGTTTTGAAAACGAATTATACAAACAGCAGACTCTGGCACAAGCCTTGACTTCGTCTTGGCCATAAGCTCACAGCAATATTAAGTGCCCAGCGTTTGTCATGTGTATTCGAGTATGCTACTAAGTCTGAGTTATAAACTACTTGATATATCATACTACTTAGCTAGCAAGCTGCACAAGTGTTATTTATTCCATGCCCATTTATCCAGTCTTGACATGGTTTTCACGAGATATTTGCGTCATAATTTTGCATCATAACTGTACATGACTGGGGTGACTCATCAGCTGTACCCACGGACGTCGCGGATTTTTGGATCACCTTGTGTTGGGTACTACTTCTGCTTCGGATTACTGTGTTATCAGGTTTTTCTGTGTGAATTATGCACCACTATTCTTCTTTTGGCGTATTTTCCAATCGGTGCAAATTTGGTGGTCATTCTTTGGCTAATTCCGGAAATCTCATTGATTTACCCTACTGCCATTGTCCGCCATGTTGGATTTGCTCTACCTTGTGATGCCTTCTCAAGCTACTTCTGGTTCCTGCTGGAAAGTTGTGGGAAATAAGGCTCATGCAATTCGGTGTTTCGGCTGTGACGTATTGTTCCATATTTCGTGCATTTTCGTATCCGTTGACGTGTTTCGAAAATCGCTCGACATCCGACATCGCTTTTTTCCACTTATATTTGATAAATGTCGCGGTGCAAGACATCATAATACACAGCGACCACCAAAACCACGGGAAAATCTCTCTTCCAGACTGAAACAAACCGTTCACCAAGTGGGGTCAAACGCCCTCGTGAAAGTGCCTGTCACCTCGCCTTCTCTTGTCACTCCTCAATCTGCACCACCACCTGCGCCTTCGACCCCGGCAGAGCCTCAGGTTCAATGTTCCCTACAGACGGAAGATTCAAACTCGGAACCTACGAAATGCTGTTTCACTGATCGGTCCGTGAATTTCTCAGATCCTGTCTGTGAACTTCTGTACACCGAGGATCCATGGACCATTCAAAAGCGCAAGGGCCCTAGTAATCGAGTTCAGGCGTCCCCTGCAGATAAACAACATGCCAATCAGATGAGCGCCTCTAGTTCTGCTCCAACAGGTTCAACACCGATTTCGCTGAGGTGTCATAATCTCGTGGTCATCCACGTACCAGAGTCAAAAGATGAAAACCTTCAGATACGTTATGATCACGACGTTGAGTTCCTCCAGGGGCTCATCGATAGACTCTTGGATGTGGGCGAAGACAGTGTGACGATTAAATAAGTGACCCGACTTGGCCAGAAAACCAACCAATCATGTCGGCCGCTGCGAATCACCTTTGCAAATCACAATATGCCGCAGCTCATACTGTCTCATCTGTCAAGGCTGAAAGACATAAAAGTTCACATCCGCCGAGACTTGGAACCCGAAAACAGGGATTGTTTGAAGACTGCGGTCATTGAACGCAAATGCCGTACAGATGAATGTGAAACTGACTTACAAATTGTAGATTTTTTGGTGATCAAGAAGGGTGTACTAATCCTTATCAACCGGTTGCTCAACCTCCAGGCACGTCCCGCAGTACCTCCCAGGACCTCCTTGTGGCATTCGCCAACGTGAACAGCCTAATGAACAAAGGTGACGAACTGTGTCGCTTCGCTGTCGCGGAGCGGCCGGAGGTTAGAGACTTGGCAAAGCTCCAACGTCATACCCCAAGAAGTCGCGTTGTCAGGATACTCTTGTTTCCGATGAGACCAAAAATCAAAGGCTCACGATGGTGTTCTGTTGTGCATTAAATTGTCACTATCTGGCAAACTTACCACCATCTATCGGAGCGGGGATAGTTTATGCAAGCAATTGTGGTGCACAATCCGCCTCAGATGCGCAGAACTAATAGTGGGTGTTGTTACAATTGGTTGTTGTTGCAATTGGCAACCACATGTACTGAAGCCCATGAGCCGCCCTCAGTTCTTACTGATGGGGGATCTAAATTTACCTAAGATATTTTGGCCACACGTTCGACTTCTTCCCAGTTATGGCAACGTTGAGGCTCAATTCGCTAAAATGACTATTGAAATCGGGGCAATGCAACATGTCATCCAACCGACGCCCGTTACTCCGCACTCGGCATCTTGTTTGGACTTAATGTTTACGAGCTGCGAGCAGAAGCTGAAAGAGATCTGAGTCCTCGAACCTCTTTTGAACAGTGACCACTGTTCCGTTGTAGCATGCATAGAACTGCCGTTACCATATTACAACCAACGGAAGCTGACATTCAACTATTGAAAGACAGACTTCGACAGGCTTGTCCAAATCGCAAATCGGACTCGTTGGACACTACCACAGGATGCGTCGTTTGATGCCTGTTGGTCATTAATGAAGGGGAAGCTTAATTCACTGTGTACTCGATTCGTTCCCCTGAAGTATTCAAAAATCGGACCTGTCAAACCGCAATGGCTTGATACGTTATGTAGACAGTTAGCGCGACGGCGTCGCAAAGTTTGGGATAGATACATCAGCTCGGGTTGTGATAAGGATTACCCGGTGTACAAGAAACAGGGTAACTTATGTAACGCCGCAAAGATCAAGAAACGCCGGCAGTTCGAAGAGGAGCCTGCATCCTCGGCCACAACTGCACCCAAGCGAATATTTGCCCACTTGAAACGTCAACTGAAACCTCGGGGAGAGGACCTACCGCTCTTAGGGAGCTTGGACGGACATAGTCTCATTTCAATCGCTTTGCGCCCGGACGCCTTGGCTTCGCACTTCCTCACTGTATTTCCCAGTAAACCGGCGGCTCTTCCAGTACAGGCACAGGTTGCGCCAGTCTTGCTCGACAGCCTACAATGTGATGCAGTCGAAGTGTATCCGCTACTCGGACCAGACGGACTTCACCCACTAGTACTCAAGTCCTCACCGATTATCATCTCACCAGCTGTGACAAACCTATTCAATAAATCGCTCTCTGAAAGATCTGTCGCGAGCGACTGGAAATGCGCGATAGTGAGACCGCTTCCCAAGGGTGGTGATCCTAGTAAACTAGAGAACTATAGGCCGATCTGTTTGACTTCGGTACTATCCAACGTGCACGAGAAGGCTGTGAAAAAGTGTCTGCTATCATTCTTCGAATCGATGGACATATTGACGCCAGCGCAACACGGCTTTGCGAAAAGGCGATCCTGCATCACCAACTTGATGTACGCAAAGCACCAGTGGGTACGAGCTTTCAACGAACGGGAGGATGTTGATGTGGTGTACATCGACTTTAGTAAGACGTTTGACAGAGTGAACCATGAGGTACTCCTTCATCAACTGAGGACATACTGAATCGGTGGCACGCTACTTCACTAGTTACACCAGTGTATGGTGGGACGAAAGTTTAGACTACAGGTCAATGACTACTTGACAGACTGGTTACCATTGACCAGTGGTGTGCCTCAAGGAACTGTACTTGGGCCAGTATTGTTTCTTATTCATATCAACGATCTTCAACAGCAGCTCCAGTCACCATGTGCCCTATTTGCAGATGATTTGAAAATCTGAGGGATCATTGAGAACCAGGACGACTGCGTTCGCCTCCAGCATGACTTAGAGCGACTGTCAACATGGTCCACTGAAATGCAACTCCCTCTTAACGCAAGCAAGTTAGGGTGCATCAGTATCACCAGACCTCCAGCCACTCGATTATACACAATGGACGGCCAGTTGCCCCAGCCTAACACATCTTTCAGAGACTTAGGAGTTCTCTCACGACATGATATGAGATCACTAGAAAATACAGAGAAATTGTACCGTGCGGGACTTCGTATGCTCTAGGCATTAAGACGCAGTTTCTCTACATGGTCCGAAGAAACTGTCCCTCGTCTATTCACCACGCTCGTTAGACCAATCCTTGAATACGGTGCCCCAGCTTACCATCCGACAACCCAGTAGGAAACTGTAAAGCTGGAGAAAATACTGCATAACGCAGCTAGAATAATACCGATTCGACGAAAGCTTCCATATGAAGGACGTGAAAAACTATGACTCTACACACTATTCTACCGTCGAGTAAGAATTGACCTTATTATGACCCATTGTACTACACTTGAATCACTTCCCCATAATGCGGACAATATTTCACCTGCGGGAACCCTGTAACACCCGAAGACACCGTTAAAAACTCAGGATCCCCTGCGTGAACAAAGTATCACATCAGCTTTGTGGAGAACGAAGAATCGTAAACTTATGGCATACACTACCAGAAGGATTAATGGTGGCCGATTCTGTGAAGTGTTTTAAAACACGTATCGACGATTATTTCGAAAACCTGTGCTTTTGTGAAACGATGCACATACAATGCCAAAAAAGACATCGTATACCCGGAAATAATGACACCAATACGAATTCCTAACCGAACAAGGATAAACGATTAACTGAGCAAGCACAATCGCTGACGATTCACAACTAAATGCTTTTGACTTTTCATAATTCG